TTTCAAAAATGAGTTCTCAACATCTAAAGGTAGAAATAAACGTAAACATGAAAATGTCATAAACGAAATACGTAAATCCACTCCAAAACACGTTCTAAATTCAATCATTCTTTTGATGCAACTTATCACTTGAAAAGAAGTAGGGGGTGAGAAAAAGCTCCGTAGGAATAATAATTTCAAAGATTTAATAAAGTAAATTATTATGCAACTCACAGTGCATGCTCAAACATGAATTACTTTATAGAAAACGGTTCCGAAAAATATTTAATCAGCAAGTCAAAAGCATTTCTTTCAAAGCTCACAGTTTAAACCAAATCATGTAATGTAAATAATAGTCCGTTATGGACACTACCCATTACCGCACATAGTCGGTCCCGTTATAGTTCCTCATGAACTCTGCCCGTGACCCCACACAGCCGGTCCCGTTATAGTCCGATCACCATGGACTCTGCCCTCTTTACGGGATGCTACCCTGAAAAGAAAAGTTACCTCATGCGCAGGTTTCCGGTCTTTCACCGCATAGCTAGTCAAACCCATAATTCAATTTCACCACGTACACGTCCACAACCAGTTCGAACCATTTCACTTTATCAAAACATATCCCCAAAACCAACACATTGAAATATAGGCTTTCAGAAAAGATCGATTGGAGCGAGTAAGCAAACACCATAAACCACATATCCATTCACATATATTAAAAACTTTTAAATCAAAACTCTTACCTTGAGTTCGAAAAAACAACCTACGTAAAGAAATCACGTTGTTTCACCACATCTCACAGTATCACCTAAACACAGTAAAATAAGATGGGATTGCAACTCAATTTGATAAAACATCTAAATATTAACCCCTAACATGATCTACCTATAGAATAAATAAATATCATATTATATCATCTTCCCAGCATCTTGATCTCGTATATATCTTACATCTTGATCTCGTATATATCTTATTGAGTCCGAGTACAATTACTGTATTTCAATTGCTTATATTAAAAATGTGAAATGGCCCAATGATCATATGATATCAAACAAACAACGACACATACTGAACCACACACTCATAGCATAATTCCAACAGACAAATGCACATAATAGGCATAGTTAACTGTATAAAAGAATACCTCTATTAGATAAATCAAATTCATCATTTCATAGGAGAGTTGAATGATTTCAAAAGTTGATTTGTCGCGCACTTTTCTTCATTGTTTTCTCAACCATGAAAAGGGAAAATCGCCATCTTGTAGAAGGAGCGGAGGCATATGGTAACAAGTGATAACATAAGGTTAGGGTTTTTATTAAAACAAAACCGAGCAACTACTTCCTTCTTTTTCTCTTTATCGGTTCCACCGAAACTTTTCCTTAGTTTAGGGTTTCTTATCCCACTTAAGATATATTTAAATAAATCAGTAAATCCTATAATCCTATAATATTAAAATAAATAATACTAACCATTAAAAAGTGATAAAATAAAAAATTTAAATTTCACAATGATTATATTATCTCTCAACAATCTACACTGAAACCCTAATTCCAACAGAGATATCTTCTTCAAGATCATTTTCGACGATGTCTATGAGATTTTGGTGACAGAGACTTGAAGGCATATAAATAGCGCGATCAGGTGGTGTCGTTTGTGGGAAACAATCTGAGTTTAAGACGTTGAGTGAAGAATTGAGAAAGATAGTAGCGATAACCCTCCAGGATTTAGAACATAAATTTGAAACACCGGACCAAGGCGCAATCAATTAAGTAAGCTGAAAGTCTCATTGCGAGACAAACGGCGGTGGAAAGTCCTAGTGAGAGTGACTCTTCAACGACTACAATAACTGGAGGAACAAATAAAGGACATGGAAGCAAAGGAGGCCAAACTAACTAAATGATGACTTGGGAAGCAGCATTTGAAGGACGGGGAGAGCGAGAAGGCCCGACGACCTGCTATAATACGGGTGGAAAAATTCATCCCAGAAGCATGTCAAGGCTTTCTAGATAAAAATAAAGCGCCCCTCGCCCGACAGAGGTCGCAGATTTCGCGACCCAACAGGAACTCCTGGAAGAAAATGAGGGGCAGTTGACCGAGCAACGATAGTTGTTAAAGTAAAAGAACAGGTAGAGGATCCAAAAATGCAGAGAGAGAACAAACTCCAGCAAATTGAGAGAGACGAGCTCGCACGTAAAATCACGCAACAACATGCAATCTTGCGACAGATTAAAGTGCTTCAGCTGGTTGAGAGACAACAAATGGAGGAATGGGAACGCGAACTATACGCGGTTCAGAACTCTGAACGCATTGCTCACCAACCTTGGGTCATTTCCCCCATTAGTTAATGTTGGAATAGCCATATCATACCAAGAGGCCAGAGCAATTCGAAGAGGTAGGCGGCCAAGGCTCTGCGAACCAAACACCATCGAGTAAAGTGAGACCCCTTTGTGAGCCCCTAAACTTGGTTAAAACTGCAAACTCGTGGGGTATTCCTTTTACATAAAAAATAACATGGGATGAACTCCCCTCCTGTTTCAGAGAAGTACACTTAGAATATGATGGAACCGACGACCTAGCCGAGCATTTGCACCGATTCTGAAACCTAGTTTTACTACATCACTTCTCGGATGGGTTTAAGTGCCACGTATTCACAACCATGTTGGCCGGCCCAGCTCAGGCTGGGTTCAACAAGCTCCCCAGTGGTTCCATATCGTCATTTGGAGAGTTTAGTGACCTCTTGATCAGGCATTTCACTAGTTCGAAGAAATAACATAAGACAACAGTGTCATTGTTCTATTTGAAACAAAAATATGAAGCGCAGTTAAGATGTTATATTTAACAGTTCACCGGGGTTTTTGGAATGTCTCCAACACAAAGGGAGGTGCTCATCAACGCATTTGTGCATTTGTGTAGTACGGATTCTAAGGAGAAAGAAACTCGCTCTTAAGCCGGAGCTAAATCCACCGAAGCTAACCGAGAGGAAGAAATGTTAGTTTCGCTCGCAGGTTTCAAACTGCTTGACTAGATATAGATTGGAAAGATGCTCAGTCTCTAGGCTACTCAATCGACTTACCGACTCAAGTAACTACGAAGGAAAGGAGCTATGAAATTAAGGCATAAATAGCAGCAAGGGAACTGGTACCACCTGTCGAAGAAAGGGAGTTTCAAACCACCTGGCTTCTGTTTTGGGTAGAGCTTGCAAGGGAACTAATACCACTTATCGGAGAAAGGGAGTTTCAAACTAAGTATTTATTTAATCATTTTAAGATGTGTTCGTTCATCCTGTTTGCCTCCGACTCATCAAGCTCGATGTTCTCTCCTACAATAGCGCTAACACCCTCATCAAGATTTATTGGGACAAGCTCAGAACTGTCCACGGGGATCGAATGTTCACCGGGATGGGCAGGGGGGAAACAATAAGTCAGCAATTGAGATGCAATTTGAAAGGCGCTTTCCAAAGCTATTGGGCATCATCAATAGCTTCCCGAGAAAGGCCAAGTCCCTCCCGGCGGTAAGACTTTGCCATAGTCGAAGCATGCGCCATAAATAATTTCGACTTCCACAACAACTCGATGAGATCGGCACGCAGCTCGTCAAGGAGCAACTTCCCCTTATCCGACCTAACGAAACCCTCATCTCCGACTACCCTCCCCACATTAAAGGTCGTTGGAATCTGTTCGGTTAAATGCTCTCTCCAGCTCGGTGATCCGGGTATCCATCGAGTTTTGTTTTGCCTGCAGATTGGTGCATTTTTTCTCCGCCTTGCTTTTCTCATCGCCTCCAGCTCGGTATGGGCTGCCTTCAAGTTCTTAGCATCTGCTCGCAGCTTTCGACATTCAGCGTTAGCTCAATCCATTGCCTGACTCAATTCTCGGACAATTTGTTAGGATCCGAAGCCGCGAAAACTGTGTATCCGTAAGGAGTATTTGGAATTAAAAAAAAAAAAAAAAAAAGTTATAATTTTTTTAGGGAGGAGGGAAACCAACGGTTGTATACCAGGGTCCCTGTTGACCAGGATATGCCCTTAGGATATGTATTACAATTTGTAAACATTTGCCCAGCTCTATTCAATCTAACATGTAAAGACGTGCAGTGATTATTTAGAAAAGAAGATTGCATTCGAATGAAAGATATCTGAACTAACAATTTGAAATTCATACCTATAATATATAAATTCATTAGTGTATTCATTCGATAACTAAAGTAAAATCTTTATATTAATCCGATTGCTACAATTATAATAATTGAACCAATTCGTCAGGAAAGGGACAATCATCAACCTTAGAAAAAAGAAAAGCCAAAAATAGCGGCAGAAAACAAAATACTCAAGCAGCAACAACACTTTGAATCAAAACTCGAGCAGTATGAAGTTCCACGAATAGTATATCATGAATGATTGAACTATTATCATCTAAACACCAGGAAATAAGTTGCGTATAAAAACATTTACGAATGTCATTACATGTTTATACTCTGGATCCGGAAAAATAATGTAACTCTATATATTCTTCAAGTTTATAACTAACTAGGCTAATAATCTTTAGCAAAATACAAATCAAGTATTTAGACGACTCTGTGGCTTTTGATCCGGTATTAGCAACTCCGCGTAATCATCAACTGTAACCTATACAAATTATTAGTAAAAATATTATTAACCAAGAAATAAATTGTAATATAATCTTTATTTGTATATAAAAGAAGAAACGCTAGGGCAACCCTTAAAAAAACCCAATGGGTATTCTGTAATTATTTATTTTAATATTTTTTGTCTACTAATTTTCTAACCTTGGAAGAATCCTTCCAGTTTCATTCTCCTATTTTTTCATCGATATATCTCAAATCTTAA